ATTTCGTGATCTGCGAAGTCCTCAACTTCGTGAACGTCATAATCCAGATGTATGTCATCGACGCCTTCCTCGGCGGCGCCTTCAGGAGCTACGGTCTCGATGTACTGAAGTACTCGGAAATGGATCACGTCGTACGGGTGGACCCCATGATAGCTACCTTCCCCCGGATGACCAAATGTACGTTTCATAAGTTCGGGTCATCGGGTGATGTCCAGAAGCACGACGCCTACTGTCTCCTACCCCTCAATATAGTCAACGAAAAGATTTACATCTTTTTGTGGTTTTGGTTCGTGTTTTTGGCGACGATTACCGGCATTACTCTCATCTACCGGCTGTTTATCATGTTTTTCTCGGGATTACGGTTTTCGGTGTTGCGCTCAAAGGCCAGCGTAACGGACGTCAATCACTTGCGGCGAGTGATGGCTGTGTCGAGGATTGGCGACTGGTTTCTACTGTACCTCTTGTGTAAGAATACTGATGCACAACACTATAAGGAACTCATACAGGAGTACAGCAAAGAGATTGTGAACGACGGGTCCGGACAGGCGCTCATACATACAGCCCTTCCCGAGAAACCCGGTCTTGAGATTAATTCATAAGGAACTCATATTTTTTGTTTTATTTTAAATTTTGTTGATTATGTCCGATTTTTAATATGTTAATTGTTCTTGTATGATCTACAATATTTTAACTAGTATGTATAAGTTATGTAATTTATCAAGCTAATTTCACTTTAGTTCCGACTTTGACGTGAATGTTATTTCATATCATTAAATGTTTCATTGTTTATCCTGATGCTTAAATAATTTTTATAATTTATTTAGGTTTAAATAGTTTAAAACTTCTATAATTTTGAATCAATCAGTCACAATTAAATAGGTTTTCTAGTGTTTAAATTTAAACAATGGGTATGTAATTTTTATTAAGCATTTAGAGATTAGTAATTTAATATTTTAATAATATGAACTAATATTTGTGGTAAAGTCGGGATTAAAGTGAAATTTGCTTAATATTTGATATAATATTTTAATACAGAATAATATAATTTCAAAAATTTATTTATAAATAAGTTTTATTAGTTGTGTTTTTCAATTTATACTTTTAATTCATAATTTTTAAGTTTACGATCTGAGTGAATAATTTTTGTCATAATAAGTAATTTTTGTAACAAATAAAAAATATTAGAATTGGTTTTAAAATTTATAAATCAAAAATAATAAAAGCACTGTTTTGTTAATTTAAATATAAGTGCATTTAGTAAATATATTATCAAAA